TATAGTCTACACAAGCACATCGAAAAAAGTTAACTCACAATTCATCTCATTCCATCCCTCAGTAGCAGTTTCTCACCGTTCGTCTGTGACGTGCATATAAAACTCCATAGCAGCAAGCAATCGACCTCCATGGATTACGCTGGTTGGGGCATGTCTTACACATGTTACCAAATAGGTTGCCACGGCGAACGATGCTCACCGAGGCAGGTAACGGTTTGAAAAGGGTCAAGAGTTGTCAAGCTATGACCTGGCATGAGGGTATGAAAACCCTAACCAGGAGACTAGGTCACATAGGCCCCGTTAGGCTCTCTGGCTGGGGACCCCGAGATGATCTCTACCGATGATTAGAGACACCGAGTGATATGGTTGGGTGTCACAAACAGTGGCGCTAGCGCATTCACTCATTATTTTCCTAACACCACTCTATGTGAATTCTCCATCTTCCGGTTGAATTTGCTTTTAACGTTCCAACCTTCATTCTGCTCTTTTATCCAAATGGGCAGCCAAAAGACCGGAACTAAAACCGGCACACGGAAAGGCATGCGTGGTTAATGGTTATAAAAACTGAACTGAGCTGATGTACAACTCCGTGACTAGGCGTTTTGGCCTCGCTTTTGATCCTTTGGTTGCTCATTCCTAACCGGATTAGGTTCACCGCTTTGAAGAAGATAAACCACACTTCTATCACATAGTTTATTCATTTTCGACGATGGCTCTCCTCGACTGCTCTTCTGGTCACTCGCAAGGCCCCATCCGTTTGATGCAAAATTCGTTGGGTTGAACATTTTAAGGTACTATTCATCTGACCCTCGTCGACAAAAAAAATCGCCATATACCTGCTTCAAGTGGGCAAAGACTGTCAGTTGACATCAGTCCTCTATCTTAAATGGCGTTTACCCAAGAAATGAATTATTTCAAAAGGTTTCCGGCCCAGATGGGCTGTCCCCATTGATTTTTCAGGATGTAGGTTAGCCTTGGTTTTGTATCTAACGAAATTCTTGACACCAATGTGAGAAATAGAGAGAGAGAGAACAGGTTCCAACGGAATGATGTGATTCGGTGATCATACCGATTTTACAAAAAGGGCGACAGGTCCTCTTGTGAAAACCATAGGGGAAGTAGTTTATTCAAAATCGTCTCTCGCTGGTTTTATACTCCGTCGATTGTCTGCCGCGTGAGAACCAGGCTGGTTTTAGACCTAGTCGAGGTTGTATGGACCACATCTTTATCTTCGTCGATTTCAGGAACAAAGACACCTTTCTTGGACCCACCGTTTCTGTCCTCCTCGATCTGACGGTGGCTTTCGACTCAGTGGACCACTCTAAACTCTGGCGCTGCCTTTCTCTGAAAGATGCGCCCGAGAATTTTATTTCAATATTACGATCCCTTTATACTAATAACCGACGCTGAGTCCGAGCTTACGACAATTTTTCGCCCGAGTTTACTACAGAGCTTGGTGTTCGTCAAGGTTGCCCTCTCTCTCCTTTTCTGTTTGCCTTAGTTATAGATTT